AAAAAAAAAAAAAAAAAAAAAAAAAAAAACACTTCTTCAATAAGTAAAACAAATTTTTAGTTTATTTTAATATTAATATAATAATAATAATAATAATAATGAAGTGATATTAAAAATTCTTTTTTTTTTTTTTTTAAATTAATAAATATATTATATATATATATATATCATATGTTTAATTATAACAAATAACGTCAGTTATTAAATAATAATACTTGAAATAAAATAATATTAAATTTTGAAAAATATCATGGATTCTTATGGCTGTGGGTGTAAAAATGGTGTTATCGTAGAAGGGATATTTGGAGAAATATATCCTGGTATGTTTTATATTTTCTTTTTTTTTTTTTCAATAATAAACATCAAATTATTATGTATACATTTATATATATGTATATGGCGGTTTTTTTTTTATAGATTTATCAAATTATAAAACATACGAAGGAGAAGCTCCAAATTATGAACAAGAATCTTTAGAAACAATAATTAAAAAACATAGTGAACAAAGTTTCAATGAATTAAAGCCTATAATTGTTAAGTCTTATACTATGATAAATAATAATCGAATGGAAGTTACTGTTATTACATGGGGTGCATCTATCATATCCCTTAAATGTCCTGACAAATTTGGTCATAGTACAGACGTTGTTCTTGGCTTTGATGATTTAAAAAGTACGATATATATTTAACTTAAAATATATATATATATATTTTAATATTATCATTCTTATTTACATATTCATCTTATTCATGTATTTGCACAAAAGAATTTTATTTTCAGGTTACATGAATCCTGTGTTTAATCCATTTATTGGATGTGTATTAGGCAGATGTGCAAATCGTATTAAAAATGGTTGTTTCAGTATCAAAGATAAAGATTATCAATTAACTAAGAATGATCTTAATATTCATCATTTACATGGAGGGGTAAAATGTTTATAAATCTTTTGATAAATAATGCATTTATCGAAAGATAATAAAAAAAAAAAAATTTAAAAAAACAATGCATTTATAAAGAATTTTTCTAGACAAATGGATTTGGTAGACAAATTTGGAACTCTCATATCGATGGTTGTTCTGTTGTTATGAGTTATTTAAGTGAAGATGGAGAAGAAGGATATCCAGGTGCAGTTTTAGCTACAGTAAGATTTAAATTAACACCGGATAATAAATTGGAAATACATATGCGTGCGACAACATCTAAATCAACGATAATCAATATGTCACATGGTTCATTGTTTAATCTTGCTGGTCATGTAAGTAACATATGCTTTATTTCAAATAATAATTATTATCTTATCATATATATATATTATTTATAGGATGCTGGTGAAAAAGAATTAAAAAAACATCAAATATTATTGAACTGTGATCGTTGGACATTTGCAGATTATTTAGATCCCATACCAACGGGAGCTATCAGAGGAGTAGGTGGAACAATTATGGATTTACGTTTACCAAGACTTTTAGGAGAATATATGGAAAAAGTATTACATTATATACAAAATTATTATGTGAATACGTGTAATATTAAAAATGAGTAACAACAAAATGGATTAAAAAAAAACCTACAATCATAAAATCATATTTAGAAATACAAACATATAAATAAATACAAAATAAGGAACTTATATAAGTAGTATTTCATTATTTTGTAGGTTCCTCCAGGAGAAGGTTTTGATCATAACTTTTGTGTAACAAAAAATTGGCAATCTGGTAGTTCATTTGTTGCTCGAGCATTACATATGAAATCTGGACGGTATATATAAACAATATTTTTATTAAATATAGAACTATATTATATTTACCATATTTATCAGCGTTTTAGAAGTCTACTCAGATCAGCCTGGTCTTCAATTTTATACCGGTGGACGTTTATTACAACAATATTCTCCTTCAACATTTGAAACGTACAATGATCATTACCTGCAACAAGAAAAGGTGAATAATAAAACAAAAATTCTTTAATATCATATTTAACCATTGAAAATAAATATTATAATATTACGATTAAAGGTAGATCATGAAAATATTAACAATTATTCGAATACAAATGAAGAAATTAAAGAGAACGGAGAAGAATTATTAATATCTGATATAAAACCACTTGATTTTATTACAGGAAAAAAAGGAGCACATTATAAAAAGAATTGTGCTTTTAGTATTCAACCTCAAAATTATCCAAATGCTGTTAATTATGTATGTATATTAACGTATTTTATTAATAAATATGTAGATTGAAACATAAATAGTGGTAACTATTTATTCACAACCGATATAAAAGAGTTACATGTTTGCACCTGTTACTGTCCTTCAAAGTAGTCACCAGCGTTATGTGAAACCCGTTGCCAACGATGTGGAAGGCGTAATATACCATCAGCAGAGCCTGTTCTGTAGATGATGCGAATGGAGTGGTCTACTGCCATGTCTCATCCAGTGTTACGATACGGCGTAAGAAAGCGTCTCCTTCGCGCTCATAGCATTCCAAGTGAGTCTGAGCAGAGTTGTAACGCATCCATTTCTGCATTTCCGTCAATTTGTGCGGAACCCATCGTGGCATTCGCTTCAGAACTGTTCCAGAGATTCGACAGGCAGTAGACCACACCATTCGCACCATCAAACATGTAACTCTTTTGTATCGGTTGTGAATATATAGTTGCCATTATTTAAGTTCCAACCTACGTATATTTCTCTAATGTTTATTATGATGTATACTTTTTTCAGGCACATTTTCCATGTGCTATTCTGTATCCAGGTCAAGTATATTGTCATGATCTCACGTATAAGTTTGGAATACAACTGGCTAATTATATGTAAAGACATAAATATATATATATATATATATAACACACAAAAAAACATATATAAATAAAGTGTATAGGTAAAAGATAGATACAAACAAATATACTCACATATAATATATATATATACATTATAATAAATTACAGCAGACCAATAATAATAATCATCTTCTATGTTTTCTTCTTTTTTGCAGCAAAAAATTTAGCTACGATACTTATTGTATTTCCAAATGATTGACTGACTGTTAATGAACGTTGAATCCATCGAGGTAGTGCCTTCATTTTATTACGGTAACGTTTATCAACTAATATTACACTTGAATAATCATTAATGTGACGTACAGCTCGTCCAATGCATTGATTTACTGCTTTCATACAAGAATTTTCATAGAAATTCTGTCCAGCGTCTGATTTCTATTTGGATATTAGGACAATGATAAAAGAGATATTCAAAAATTTGAAGTATAAATTGAAACATTTAATAAAATTTATTATATACGTACAACATTTTCATTTAAATATTTGATCTTTTCTTGTAATTCCGTTGATTTAATATTAGGATATGGCATTCCAACAACAATAATACATCTTCCCAAATCATCAGAAAAATTTAATCCTTCACTTAATTTGCCACCTAAAAAAAAAAAACAAAAAAACAAAAAAACAAAACGCATTTAGATTTTGTGAAAACATATATGTATAATCAAATATTTGATATTACCAATAACGCTAAATAATAATGATCCATTTTGTGGACTTTGTGGACAATGTATACATCGTGAGTATTGTTCTAAAACATCATTGACCTGAAATAAATATATTTCAATGAAAATATTTCTTGACAAAATAATATATATAATTTATAAATTTTATTGTTAATAAATGTATACTTGTGACGTTGATTTTGGTTCACGAAAGATTTGCTTTTTTAAACGAATTTTAGTTATTACACCAGATTTATATAAATGCTCGTACACTATATTCTCATAATCATAAGATGGTAAGAATATTACAATACCAGCTGGTATAATGTTGCAGAAATTTACTAACATTCTTCCCAATTCATCTAACTGTAAATTTAAAAACAACAGATAATATTATTTCTAATTAATTTCATATATCATTAGTATTATACACAACATACTAGTTTTGTATTTTGTCTATTTTTAAAATTAAATTCAAATTCTACTCCAGTTGGACCAGACAATAAGATGTTGGATATAATATTTTCTGGAGGTATTACATGATCACAGGAAAATGTTAAAATTCGTTCAGATTCAACACCCGCTGCTAAAAATAATTGTTCAGTAAATTCAGATATAGGTTCCATGGTTCCACCAGCTAGTATTACAGCTCTGGCTTCAGTTACTGTAAAAAATTATATTTTTTTAAATTTATTATTATTTATATATTAACCAAAAAAACAGTATATTCTATATACACGTACCAACATCATGAAAATGAGCTGCTGGATTTAATAAAAGAAATTTTAAAATTCCTTTTCCAATAGTAGGACCAGGTATAACAATTATACGACCATCAGCACAATTATTTTCCAAACATTCTAAAAAGCTAAGAATTAACGTTAATGGACTACTTGTTTCCTCTTCATTTTGTACTACTTCTGTACTTTCGACGTTTTCTTCTTTATTAACATTACTAATTGATTTTAAGAATTGAGTTATGCCAGTTTTAGTTTTATTATTTTCATGAATTTTAATATCATTACCATACTGTTCTATAAAACCTCTTAATTTGTTAATAAGTTTAGATTTTTTTACAAAACTTATTAAATCAAAGATATTTAAAGTATCAATATCAGTTGTTCTTTCAAATTCTTGTATTGTATATAATTTAGATGTTAAATCACCACTGGTATTATCAGTTGGAAGGGATTTCGTTGTAGCTCCAAAAACAGTTAAAAACTTTTTCAAACAAAAGCTTAATTGATTTAAATGAAGTACATTTTTAGCATTAAACAAATTTTGATATCTGTAAAAAAAATGAATATAATATTTAAATGATATTATATATAAAATAGTATTATATATTATAATACTATTCACAATTTTAATTAATAAAATATATTTAATTGCAATATAAAATATAATACTTTTTCTGATACTGTGACAATTGATTATAAGCATGAAGTATATTTCTTCCTGTAATTGAAGCACTGTACATTCTTTCAATAGCTTCTAGTAAATTATGTGCTTCATCGATTATTAAAACATTTCCTTTTAAATTTATTCCTGAACTAATTCTTGTATTCTTGTGTAAAATAGAATTGTATGGTACTAATATTAATTGACCATCTTGAATAGATTTTCTTACTGTATAATATGGACAAGTATTAAGTTCTTCTCCTTTTTGAACAATTTCTTCGATATCATGAATTTCTGATAATAATTCAGCCATCAATGATTCCTGATTTCCTGATAAAAATGGACAGCTATTTGTTACTTTTAATTTTTTAATATGTTTTTCTTCTTTACGTGTTATTTTTTTCTTTTGTAATTGTAAACATTGTTCATTGATAAGATTAATATGTTTTAATTTCTTTATACTTTTATTAATACAATAATTCTGCCTAAAATAATTTCAATTATTTATAATTGTAATTTACAAAAATGATCATTTTTAAACAAAACAAAAACTTACCTAGAAGCTAATGTAACTACAGCTACATTCTCTGAATAAGGACTTCTCTTTAATTCTTTAACAAATTGAGAAAGTTGTGAATGAGTTCTTGAACAGAAATAAATTTTTGTATGAAAATTTGCTTGTTCCACTTCTTCATCTTCTTCTGCTGAATTTTCTGAATCTGATAATACATCTAACAATAATAAATCCTTATCAATATCATCATTTTCTGTATCAATCGATGCATTATCATCTATGTGTGTATCAGAAGGATTAGATTTTAATTTGGTATATGTCTTTTTTCCCTTTGTATTTTTCTTTTTAATTTTTTCTTTATATTGTTGAATTTTCTTTTCATATTTAGTAATGACATCTAATTTAGATTGCAATTCTTTTTTTGTAAGATTAAATTCCATTTGTTCGGTCTGACATGAAAACCAATCATTGGATGTACCTTCAATCATTTTAATCTTATTATCTAAATCAGTAATTTTAGAATTAAGTTCATCTTTCTGTAATTGCTCATGATCTAATAACCATTTTAAGGCACCACAAATGACTGACAATGATTTTCCTGTTCCCGTTGGACTTTCAAATATTCCCATATTACCATTTTCAATACATTTATATAATTCTTTCATAAAATCTTGTTGAATTTTGTAAGGTGTAAAAGGAAATGGAAATATTTCTGGAGTTTCCATTTTATATATACATATATTATTATTATCTAAAAATAATAAAAATATATTAATTAAACATATATAATTAAAATATTATAACCTTAATTTAATACAAACCTTATTTTATAATATAAAAATATATTTTCATTTTCTGACAATCCTGCCGGTTACAAGGATGTAATATCAGTATAAAAAAATAAAATGTAAATTCTGCAGAATTCCCGCTAAAAAATGACAAGAAGCATTTCTATGAAATGACTATAAATAATATAGTTAATATTAATAAATTCATAACCTGTAATATATTATACCTATAAATATATGTATTTCTTTTATTATTGATTTATCTATTATCGTATATGTGTTAAATGAAAAACATACAATATTGTTAGTTACTTTATTATTTTATAATTCGATAATCGAATGTCATCGTTTTCATTCATCTCGAAATATCTCGAAGTAACGATCGAGAGTTACATATAACCTACATGTGTGACGTTCCTTTATCGTCGTACCCGTGTAGTTTTATATCACTTTAATAATGGCTCTTAATTTAACTGTAAAAGTGCATCCCGTAGTTTTATTCCAAATAGTGGATGCATATGAACGCCGAAAAGCTGAATCTTTACGTGTAATTGGTACATTACTAGGTATGATTTGTTTTTTAATATTGACATACACCACATGTTGCATCGTGGTGACATCCAAATAGAGGTTATGTGTGCATCAATATTACATATGAATTATATGTGAATTGTATATAAATGTTATAGGTACTTCAGAAAAGGGAGTAGTTGAAGTTACTAATTGTTTCTGCGTACCACATAAAGAATCTGAAAGCCAAGTAGAAGCTGATCTTTCATATGGAGTAGACCTGTACGAGTTGAATCACAGAGTGAACGCTCAAGAAAATGTTGTTGGCTGGTGGGCAACAGGCAATGAGGTATTTATATTTTTCTCATTAAAGAAAAATATCTGTTATTAAGAAAAATTCAAAGAATTATGTAATTCTGACAGGTTACTACTCATTCGTCTGTTATTCATGAATATTATGTACGAGAATGCAACAATCCAGTTCATTTAACTGTTGACACTACCTTAGCTAATACTACAAGAATGGCAATTAAAGCTTACGTATGCGTTCCATTAGGAGTACCTAAAGGAAAACAAGGTTCAATGTTTACACCAGTAAAAGTACAGGTATGTAATTAAAATCAAATACATTTAATTCTAAATAAATTATAAAACATACTATCATTATTTATGTTATAATACTTTTGTTTTATTTCTAGATTACATGCTACGAACCCGAAGTTGTTGGTTTGCAATTGTGTTCAAAAACGCAATTACAATCTCATGTACCAATACCTGGTGTTAAAGCTGGCGGAGGAATAGAACCGATGATGGATCTTGCACAAATTGCAGAAGCTAGTTCTAAATTATCCTTGATGCTTGAACAAGTTCTTAATTATGTCGATGACGTTCTTGCAGGAAAGCAACCACCAGACAATCAGGTAAATATACTTTTTATGTTTATTATTAATATTATAACAAGATTTTTAAAATATAAACTATTTTAGGTTGGTCGAGCTCTTTTGGACATGGTACATTCGGTACCAAAGATGAGCTGTGATCAATTCGATGATATGTTTAACAGTAATGTAAAAGATCTTTTGATGGTAGTTGCATTATCACAATTGATAAAAACACAATTGCAACTTAATGAAAAGCTTACATTGCTCACAACATTATAATTTTGAAAACATATAAACATCTTGTATTAATAAAATAACGACAGTATACAATTAAAATGATGTTTTAAGATCTTTATATTTTTGTTTATTCAATGAATAAGATTTCCATATTATCTTTTTAAGATATATATTAAGAAATGCTTTTATTTAATACTAGATGTTAAAAGATAAATACATAAATATAAGATAAAGCTTATATATTACATATATTACATTTCACAAATTAATGAATCTTCTTTTTGATTATCTATTAAATTAGTCCAATCTGGAACTCTGTTCAATTTTAAATAAGTTTCTTTGGTTAGACATCTTGAAGGAAAATCTGCAATACCATAAATTGCTCCTCCTAACCAAGCTGTATAATTTGGTTTACTTGGAGCTGAATGAAATTTAAATGTTTTTATTTTTAATTTATCAGCATATAAATCACTTTTCAATAAAGATAATAATTCTGCTTTTAAACGACTCGCAAAACCTTTGGCCATTGCTGTACCACCTATTAATAATATATTCTCTGCTAGGACACGTCTGATATCTATCGGACACTACAAATATAAATATATAAATAAATAATTATAATATCAAAACATAGAGTTATAATGTAGTATATTAGCTTACTTTAATAATAGCATCCAAAATCATAGTTGGTATACTAAGATTATCGTTATCTCTTTCCCATAATACTTCATAAGCTTTTTCTCTTATTTCTCCCAGAATAGTAACAGTTTTTACACTAGGATATTTAACTGCTGGTGGAGGAGTTGGAGGATCTTGAGATTCTAATTTTTTAGATCTTTCCAATGTAGTAACAAAACAAGTTCTCACTTTGATATCTTCAATAATATCTTCAGTCAAATCATAATCAGGCAAACTTTTTTCTAAATGTGTTTTTATATTTCTAAAGAAAAAAATATTCATATCATTTTTACCCAAACATTAATAGCAAAAATAATATTGATTATGATAATAGATTACTTACTTATGTACAACTTGAGCACCAAGTGGTAAAGCTTGCCACGCTTTTAAAATTGGTACACCTTCATAAATAGGAATTAATGTTGCTTCTTGATAACCAACATCCAATACTAAAACCGTATCAGTTCCTAGTGTACTAATTGTTGCTAAATGCGTTGGTAAAAAGAGCAATGAACCAATTTCAAAATGTCGAAACATTACTTTAGCAAGTGTATCTCTAAATTGAGAAGGAGTTAATGAAGATTCTACGATAAGTACTTTTGAATCTTTTGGACTGATGACAACATGCCTGGTAAATAAATAAATAAATAAAAACATTTAAATGATTATTTCAATTTGATATTGATATTATTAACGTTACCTGAGGAAAAGTAAATGCAGAAATTCAACAAGAAGTTGATACAAATCATCCACATCCAAATAATCAAATACTTTTCTCATTTCTTTGGATTCAGGACATTTGACTATTGTTTTGATTATTCCTCTTGGCATCGTTTCTCCGGCATAACCAAATCTAATTTATATTGTTTTTTTTTTTTTTTAATTTCATATTATTAAAAACAAAATATATTGCATATAAATAAACAAATATTTACCTACTTTGTATATGCACTACCAATATCAAATATTACCATTTGTTTATCAGAAATATATCTGACACCTTCATATTCACGAGCCATGTTTGAATTAATAATCAATAAATAAGAATTTAATTAAAATTATTTTAACAATTAGAATACATTGACATAAATTAAATACAAATTCTTTGTAAGAACTTATGTGTAGAATTATTTTTCACTGTTCTTATGGTGAAAAGTATTGTCAAAATGACAGGAATGTCAGAATCAGTGCTGCACTTACTTCTTTCGTTTGCATACGGTCAAAAGTTACTAGATTCATTCTTTAGTTATATCGAACAAGAGTCAAATTACAATCATTTAAAATTGTATTTTAATAATAAAAAGAAACATTTATGATGATTTAATGAATGTATGATAAATATTTTTATTTGTATTTAAATAATAATAATAATAATATATAAAATAATTTAATAAAAATATGTTATATAATATAGAATAACGAAAAATTAAAAAAAAATTATTACACAAATAATTACAAAACAAAATGATAACATTTTTCTAATACTAAGAAAATATAAGAAGAATATTAGTGTAATTTCTTATACACTATGTTTTTTTTTTCTTTATTTAATTAAAGTACAGAAAATAATATATAAATTTATTAAACAATCATCTCAAGTTCTCTAGCATAATCTATAGCTAGTGTAGCTAAGTCTGCACTTGGTATTGGTTCTTCTGCTTTCTTTTCATGCGTTGTGTTAAAGTAAAAATATCCATCTTTAGTTAAATTCCAATTTTTCTTAGTAGCAAAGGCTTTCATATCTTTCTCGGTAGATAAATTAAGCATTCTGGAAGCGTCATGAATTGATATCTTGTCAAATGCGCTTTCCATGCATGCTCCAATTTCATCACGAACAGTATTTAATAATATATCAATGAAAAAGTTATAACACGCAGCTGGTACATTGCCTTTAGCTAAAAATATTTTGTTATATGAACCTTCCATCAAATATTGTTCTAAACTTAATGGATGTCGAATATAAGGATTCGATTGTATTTGATCAGAAGGTAAGAGCTCCAATTCCGTGTGAAATTCTGCTACACGATTTTGAGATAATAAAAATAACAAATTTAAACCCAAAAGTTGATATTTGTAAGCAGATTCAAGTAATCCTGATTTGTAATCAAAATAATAACATTTCAATTGTGCCATATATCTTTCAAAAGAAGGTATATCTTCCGCTGCTATACTCCACTGTGCACCAATTTCTAATATATCTCCTGTAAATAAAAATATATATTTTAATAATAATAGAAAATATTTTTTAAAAATCATAATAAAGTATCATATCAAAAAGTAACATACTTGCTATAAGCAATTCATTAGTATTCACTAGATTGTTGGATGTTGGTAAAAATGTTAAATGCGTGAGACCCACCTATATAAATTAAAGAACTTATAAAATCTTTTCTTATATGTATATATATATATATATATAAAAACAATTAAACTAATAAACAAAAAAAGAACAAATGTAATTACTATTAATGTCACACTGAGGTTATATTTAAGAAAAGTAAAACTTATTAAATAGATAACGATGATAAATTGTCACCTTTAATTGATTAAGTAATTTGCCACATTTGATTAAATTACAAGGTGTTTTTGTCCACTCTTGTTTTAAATTTTGGTATAAAGAAACAACCTCCTTGAGCGCGGCCATTTTTGTTACGAGGAATTAAATGTCATTGGCAAAAAATTTTTGCTTAAGTCAGTTCTAAATCTTACAATGCGTTCGGAAAACTATTCGAATGAGTCTCTTGTCTTTAGGAACACATGTTTTATTTCAATTTATATTTCATTCAATTTTCATGCAATTTATATTTATATTTATATTTATTTTGACATATTTTTTGATCGTATTTAATATTACAATTTTTAATATTTATATAACGTAAATAAATAAAATCTTGTAATTATTAAATAAGTTGAATGTGATTGGTCCACTATAGTGGAATTAATACTAGCAAAATGTTTTATTTTTCAACCAATAACATGAACTTATTGTGCAACCAAAGACCAATCAGCAATCCTTAACTGCAAGAAGTGTTGCAATAGAAATTTAACGGATGAAAGAAACTTATCAGTTCATAGGTGTATGTGGTAGTTGAATGTGCTCCTTTAATCCCTTCAAGTCATTGCAGTTTTTATGAATATAAAATTATAATTGTTATATATTATTTATTTTATAGTTATATTGTATGCATATAAACATAGTGAGCTATAAAACTTTATATTGAAAAAATTATATTGTAAAGTGAGAAGAAAGATAAAAAAAAAAAAAACTAGAACGTAGAATCTCAATCAGAGGAGTAAATTCGAGCAGTGTGGTCTCTACCGGCCTTCAACTTCCTGTTCCCTTAACTGGAAACAATGGCGTCAGGAGTAAGTGAGATTCATGCAATTTTCAGCTATAATCATCGACGTTAAAATGCATCAATAATTATTTATAATGAATTAAATGTGATTATTAACATGTGATTATTTAAATATCTTAATGTTTTTTTCAGACCTTGTACACGTACCCAGATAATTTTAGGGCATATAAGGCTCTGATTGCTGCTCAATACTCCGGCGCGCAGATTAAAGTTGCCGAAGACTTTGTATTTGGTGAAACTAATAAAACTGAAACATTTTTAAAAAAGTTTCCACTTGGTAAAGTAAGTCAAAATCATATGTCATATTATTTAATCTTCTTAACTGATGTCTTGTTAACTTATGTTAACCATCTGCTATCAGTTCTTAATAGATGTATTAAATAATACATAATGGGATAATATATTTGTTATAATAATTAAAATGTAGGTACCGGCATTTGAAACAAGTGATGGAAAATATCTTACGGAAAGTAATGCAATTGCTTACTATGGTAAGTGGAATTATTTTTGATCCTTATGACTGACATTCTAATCTCATTTGATTACTATCATCTTTAACAGTCTCAAATGAACAATTACGAGGAAAAACAGACATAGAAAAAGCAAGCATTTTCCAATGGTGTGGATTTGCTGATTCAGAAATTCTTCCTCCAAGTTGTGCTTGGATATTCCCATTACTTGGAATTATGCCATACAACAAACAGGTATTAAATGATTATATATGATTACTTCTATTTATACATATATACCTTTTTATAATACAAATATTGAATATTGTCCTCTTTCAAAGGCAACGATTGTTAATTCAGACAATTGTTTGTAACAAAAAGAGGTATATAAATAATTGCATAAACTATTTGTACACAAGTACACATGTACTTATATATATATATTTGTACTTATGTTCAATTGCATACATACAACTCTTTAAATTAGAAATTATTTGTACATTTTTAAAAATTGCAAATATTATTANTTTTTTTTTTTTTTTTTTTTTTTTTTCGTTAAGAAAAGATTTATGGAAGTTCAGTATGCATTTTTATCTTTGTTAAGTACAGAAAAGTGACACATTATTATTATTATTATTATTATTATTATTATAATTATAATATTAAATAAATCATTTAAGGAGATATCTTGTGCATTTTATTATATACATATACAATATGTAATATATAGAGAAAGATTTTTTTGTTTTAAGATCAATTGGTTATAACACATAATAATCTGAAGCTGAATAATTAATTTATAATGGGTATACCTTTCTGTGCCATACAAAGACATTTTGCGGTGCTAGTATCACATATTTAATGTAAGTGATAACACACACACACAGGACACACACAAACATACACACACAAAATTCAAAATGCTTCCAAAATAATCGAGAAACAACATTTAACAAAATTTTAAAATGCTAAATATCAATACATAGTTATGATAATTTAATTCTATGAGATATAATGTTCGGCAGCTATAGATGTATGAATTATATTAATGGCGTCAAATTCGCCAACTGTGCTAGTCTAAGCTATATTTATTTTTTATATATTATATATATGACTTGTTTAGATTAAATTATATAGACGAAGAAGAAGAAGATGATGAAGATAATGAAGATGAAGATAAAGAAGAAGAATAATCAGATTTTGTATTCTATCAGATGCGATATTTAAACATAATTCAATGGTATATTTAAAATAAATTACACACACACACACACATATAAAATAATAATAATAATAATAATAATATTTATCAGTTATATTAAAATTATCCTTTTTTTGGTCAACAGTATTAAATATGTTTGACAAAATGTTCAAATGCTATATGCTGCACATAAATATTATTTGCAGAAATAGAGTTGTACGATTTATATTTAAATTCTCTTTCTCTCTCTCTCTCTCTCTCTCTCATATTCTTAAATATATGACCAAAATCATACACACATAGAAGAGACATACACCATAAACATACACACACAAACATACTGAAAAACTATCTCTCTCTCTCTCTCTCTTATAAAAATAAAATTCAATTGTAAATATATATAATGATATATAACTCACATTGAAACTTGCATGTGTTGCTTGTAATCTAATAATTTTGTACAATAACATTTATGACCAAGAAATTAACTGTAAATGAAATGTCTGATTGAACACATTTGTACTGTGATAATTCCCCCTCATGTTTGTACGTGTACTTGTCTGTAGAAGAAGGATAATGTAGTTTTACTTAATATATATATATATATATATATATATATA